AGCGCAGCAGCTCCTCCTCCTGCTTCTCCGCCATGCGACTCTCCAGCAGCCTCAGCTCCCTGAGCACGGCCTTCCGCATGGACGGCTCCAGCTCCAGCACCTTCTCCAGGTCCGCCTTGGCCTCCGCCTCATTCCACACCTCCGCGTGGGCCCGGGCGCGCACGTAGTAGGCCTTGACGATGCCTGCGGAGAGGATCCGGCTGCACCACCTGCCTGGCCCCAGCCGGGATTCTCCGGGTCTCAGCGCCCTTCATCTTGCTGTGATCCTGACCTTCTCCGTTTCCTCAGCCACAGGAATGATTCCTGCCCCCTCCCTTGCCCGGCCCTTCCAAAGCCTGTAACTAACTTTGTGTTCAGAACTTCTCTTTTTTTTTTTTTTTTTTTTGAGAGGGAGAGGGTTTTGCTGTAGGGCGCACAGACTGGAGGTTAGGGAGAAAGGCGGGGGAGACAGAGAGACAGAAAGAGAGAAATCACCCCCTAGGGGAAATAGCCACACTGCAATCCCTTCTCCACTCCCTTCTCCATTCTCCTCTGCGGATTTTGAGCCCGCCTATGCGCTGGGCATGAGTTTCAAGCTGGGTCTGGAACTTAACTACCATTAGTAACATCGGAGTCCAGTGCCTTAACCACTACGCCACCTGCTGGTCCCAACTTAGTATTCTTCTTATAGAGGCTCCCCAAGTTGTGTAACCTTCAGGCCCTACCCCTACACCCACCCCAGACGGTTACAATGAGAATTTAAAGGATTAAATGAGATAATAAATGCCAAGAAGACTTGGCTTTCTGGGGTATGCTAAGTGTTTGATATTGTTATGGTTAACTTTATTCAAATACCATCTTCACAAATACTGCCATATCCACACACCACCAGTATTAATATTGACTGAATATCTTTTACTATACTGATTGTTACCTTTTCTATTTTTAAATTTACACACACACACACACACACACATTTATAATTAGTTTTTGCTATGGATGCATGCACTCGCCAAAGAGAGAGAGAGAAGGAAGGAAGAACTCACCCTTGTGGGGGTGGCCATACCGCAATCCCTTCTCTCAAGATTTTGGGTACACACACACACAAGTGCCTGATGCCTTTTCAAGCCACCCGGTCTGGGACTCAAACCAGCAAGTTAACCATGTGGGATCCAACCACCTTAACCACCATGCCAGTTGGCTGGCCTACTCACTTTTTTAAAAACGTCTGTTTATTGCTCTACAAAAATCACAGATTTGGTCTATTGCTTATACATTTCCGAACCCATATTAAAAATAAAATACCTCAGGACCAGCAGTTGGCGTAACGACTATGCCACTGGACTCCCATGTAGTCAACTGCAGTTCGAGTCTCGTACCAGGTGGCTTAAACTCACGCCGGGCGTGTGTGCGTGTGTGCCCAAGATCCCAAGAGGAGAATGGAGGAGAAGGGATTGCAGTGTGGCCATTCCCCCTGGGGGGTGATTTCTCGCTTTCTGTCTCTCTGTCTCTGTCTTTCTAGCGAGCGCATGCGCCCTATAGCAAAAACCTCTCCAAAAAAAAAAATACAATACCTCTAGGCGCCAGGAGGTGGCGCAGCTGTAACACCACTGGACCCACATGGGATCGGTCGGGCCTGGAGTGCCGGGCCCTCCCTGAGCTGCTGTGATCTAGGCTGGGTGGGTCTGGGAGTAGATCACAGGGTGAAGACCATGTTGGGGTGCCTCTTTCAATCTCGCTCTCTCGCTCGCTCTCTCAGTAAAGGTATAAACATTTGTTTTAAGTAAATAAAAAGTGAGCCCCTGCCCACCCATCCCCTGGGACATGGTTGCACACTTGGTAAACCCTGCTGGGTGGAGACAAGTTTTGGTGCCTTGGCCGGGGAGAGGAGCCCAGGAGGTGCCGGCAGTGAGCCCGCCCACCTGGGTGTTGCCGGAGGATGTCGCTGGTGTGCTCCAGCACCTCGTAGTACTCCTCCTTCTTCAGCAGGCACTGGCAGTAGTTGAGGATCAGGGTGTTGATCATCTTCTCCAGCTTCAGCCACTGCACCTCCCAGGGCTTCTCCTGCCAGAACAGGAAGTCCGTCGGGCGCCCAGGCAGCCGCCCACCCCAGCGGCCCCGTTCCCACCGCTGCCCTGCAGCCTCCCACCTTGGTCTGCAGGTTCCGCAGGCAGACGACAGCCTCCTGGTACTTGGTGGAGGCCTCGTCATAGCGGCCCAGCTTGAAGAGCCGGTTCCCTTCTCCATGGAGGATGGGCACGGCTTTCATCTTCTCGCTGTTGTTCAGGTTCCAGGTCTCCCTCTGGTACTCGTTGGGGGCCTCGACCTGGCCCAAGAGCTGCGGGTCAGTGAGGCAAGGACCCCCGAGCCTGCCCCAAAGCAGGGACCAGAAAAAGTGGACTCTGGGCTAGCAGTTGATGTAATGGCTATATCACTGGACTCCCATGTAGCCAACTGTAGTTCGAGTCCCAGACCTAGTGGCTTAAACTCACACCGGGTGCGTGTGCGTGTATGCCCAGGATCCCAAGAGGAGAACGGAGGAGAAGGGATTGTGGCATGCCCATCCCCCTGGGGGTGATTTCTCACTTTCTGTCTCTCTGTCTCTCTCTCTGTCTTTCTGCCAAGCACACATGTCCTATAGCAAAAAAAAAAAAAAAAAAAGGAAAAGTGGACCCTGGCACTTCTCCCTGCAGTCAGGTGTGTGTGTTTCCCAGAGAGGCATGTGTGCTGCTCACACACGTGTCAGCAGGGCAAGGAAGCTGCCAGGCCCAGGCCCTGCCCCAGGTCCATGCCTTGGTGCAAATTAGAAAAAGGCACTCCTTCCTCAAGACACCTACTGCCAGTATTCAGTAAATTGTTGTACATAACAATTTTGTTAGAACAAGACACTTTGTTGCCATCTGCTGGAAAACTGTCATTGCACAAATACAAAAACACAATGTCTGCATTGAGCACCTTAGAGGGGATGCCCGTGTGCAGTGCACAGCCCACACGACTGTTCAGGTAGGCCTGCAGAGGTCCTTGACTGACACGGTTCTTGTTTGTATTCTTATTTGCCCACCTCGCCCTTAGGCTGGGCCTGTGCCTTGGCCTGATCTAAGTCCTTAACTGGCCTTGACCCTGGATCTGACCCTCCCCCTTCTGGGCCCAGGTGAGGGGATAAGGAAAGCTCTGCACAGCCCCTTCCCCTACGTGAGAACCAAGCCTGCGCCCAGAAACCACAGGGACCAAGGGTGATGACTGAATCCTAAACTTTTAAAAACAAAATGAAAAGGGGCTGGCAGGTGGCTTGGTGGTAAAGGTGCTGGGCTCCCGCATGGCCGACCACGGTTCAAGTCCCAGACCAGGAGACTTGCTTTCTCAATTCTCTCTCTCTCTCTCTCTCTCTCTCTTGCTCTGTCCCTCTCTGGTCAAATTAAAATAAGTAAATAAATGAAGTTAAATAAAATAATTGTTTTTTTTTAAGTAAGTAAATAAGCAATACAAGTAAAATTCCTGCAAAAAGAAAATAGATTACATTTTTTAAAAAATGGTTCCAGGAGCCAGCAGATGGCATAGTGGTTACATCGCTAGACTCCCACATGGTCAACTGTGGTTCGAGTCCCAGACCTAGTAGCTTAAAAATCATGCCAGATGTATGTGCATATGTGACCAAGATCCTGGGAGGAGAAGGGAGGAGAAAGGATTGCAGCATGGCCATCCTCACAGGGGTTGATTTCTCACTTTCCCTCTCACTGTCTCTGTCTCTGTCCCTTCACCTCTCTCTCTTTCTCCCTGATGGGCACACAAGTGAAAAAAAAAAAAAAAAAAAAAAAAAAAAAAACTCAAAAAAAAAAAAGGTTCCAAATGAGTTTTTCCCTTGCAAGCAGACCTTTCCCTCCAAATCCCAGCTCTCCTGTGGTTCGCATTCTCTAAAGAGAAAGAAGGTGGTGTGTGGTGCCTGGTGGGGCCAGGGCTCCCGCGTGATGCCGAGCCCTCCACACCCCGGGCCCCGGGCCCCCGGCCCCACCTGCAGCAGCTCAATCACGAAGATGAGCGGCTGTGGCTCCTTCTGCAGCTCGTCCAGGTCCGCGTAGCCCAGCGTGTGGTAGGCGAACATGTTGGCCAGCCCGCACGTGTGCACGTGCCAGTCCGTGGGGTCCTTGCCCTGGGCCACCTGCCGCAGGCTCCGGGACAGGATGGGGTAGACCCCTGTGTGCTGTGGGGAGAGATGAATGGGTGGTGTCTGGACCTCCTGTTCAGAGCTAGCTGGGCCACCCTCACAGCGGGATCCCGTGGCCCACTCCCCCCACCCTGCTAACCATAACCGTGGCCACCTGTGTGCCAGGCAAAGCGCTGGGCACTTATCAGCTCCTTCAGTCCTTACAATGCCCCAACAAAGGAAACGCTACTGTCCCTGTTGCAGATGAGGACACTGGAGCCCAGAGAGGTGAGCGACTAGTTTAAGGTCACACAGCTGGGAAATGACAGAGCCAGGATTCGAACCCTGCTCCAGAGGTCATGCTCCTAGCCTCGTGCTGCCTCTTGCTGGCCCCATGGTCAGCTATAACACATCTCTCCCCTACGGAGACTCCGAGCTCTGCAAACATGGGCCTCGCAGGGAGAGCAGTGTGGAGTGGCGCGGTCAGGCTCTGTGTCTGAGGGGGGTGGATTAACATCCGGCATGTGGATGAGCAGTGGGAAGGGGTCGCTGCGCTGCTCTGAACCCCGGTTTCCTTGGCTGTACCTGACCGGTCTTAGAGCTGTCGCATGGATTAAACGAGACAGTGACAATAGAGGTCTGGCTCATAGCAGCCTCGCTAGGCCCTGGGAGCTGGGCTCCCCCTTTCGGGTGGAGGAGATCTGGGAACATCAGCCGTGTGACCCCAGCAATGCCTGCTCCTCAGGGAGCCTCAGCTCCAGCTCCCAGGGCCCCTCTCCTTGAACTGGATTCTGAGATGACCCCGCTCTGGCTCCCACATGGGAAAGTAAAGGGACAGAAAGGGCTCAGATCTGCCTCTAAGTCACCAGCGTGGGGACAAAGGCCACCCCTCCCCACCTCTTCCCGCCAGGATTAGCCCAGAATGCCCTCTGCTTCTTTGTGCTCTAGACAGCCAGATGGCAGCTGAGCCTTTGGGGATTAAGGCTGGACAGGAGAGCCCTGGGATCAGCTGCTGCAGGGCTGGAGGGGGACGGGCGGGGGTACTCCAGGCTCTGACACAGCAGCCCCCAGCTCAGCGGCCTGTCTCCAACAAGCACAGCATGAGCTGTGGGCCCCAGCGCCAGGCAGCTGTTTAGGCACATCCTCACACAAAGGCCTTCTCCCAGTAGAGCTTGCCCTCCCCAGGCACTTCCAGGACTCCTGTCAGCACAGATGGGCTAGGGGATGCTGCCAGGGCCAGGGAGAAGTCCCAGGAAAGAGGATAAAGGTCTGGAGGTAGAGCAATACTCCAGAGTCCTGCATCTTCCCAGGGCAGTGCCTCCATGCAGTAAGGAAGTGCAGAGCTCAGCTGTGTCCGCCTGGAGGCTTAACGTGCAGGGCTGCAGATCAGGCAGCCTTGTCACCATAGATCTCAGTGGTGCTAGACACTGGCCTCTGGGACTTGCCCTGTCCACGGGGGCTGCACGTTTTGCCAGGGGAGCCCAAGATAGCTGTTCTCTCTGAGGCTTCCAGAACAGAGCCTGGTTCTGTCTGAGGAGCTCTGTCTATACCGGAGGCTGCAGAGTTTCTGTGTTGATACAGACCTTTAACTCATCTCAAGGGCTCAGAACATCTAGCCACATTGGGCTCTACGTTTTTCCCATGACGACTGTCCAGTTGGACAGAGCAGCCGCTGTCCCACTTAGGACGGGGCAGCTGAAGTGCAGCTAGCCAGGGTTCCTGGTCCCCCAGGGAACTTGAGTTTGCAGCCCTTGGTTCCACAAGGCTGGGCACCAGGGGAAATCAAATCCCACCTAGAGACAGTGTCTCGCTGGAGGGACAGGGAGAAATGCATCACGGGGCAGAAGCTCCTGGACCTCCCGACGGCTCCCACCCCTCTGATTTAGGGGAAGGGAAAGGATGAAGGGAACCCCCTACTTTAGCAGAGAGCTAAGCCTCGAGGTAATCCAATAAGGACCGTCCAGGCCGAGGGCTCCGCAGGGAGTGACAAGCAGCAGCTAACTGCTAGGGAGAGCCACGCCTTGCCAACTGCTTTGTTAAACACAGACAACTGTGCACTAATGGTCAGTCTCTCCAGAACTCGGGTTCTTCAGTGGCGAGATGCCCCACAGTGGAAAACGTGCTTTTAGATGTCACAGGCAGGCCTTTGCACATTTCCTGGCCGAGGTGCTTCCCCTCTCTCACTTCTAGGCCTGGTGAACTCCTATTCACCCTTCAAGACTCACTCAATGTAATCCTCTTGAAGACGTCTCCCTCCAAGATCTCAAAGCTGTTGCTTGCCCCCGTGAGTGGCCAGCACACTGCCTCCCTCTTCATGCTGTGACGCTGGCCGCCTTGCCTTAGTGTCTGTTCCTCTCCGGAATGTAAGTTCCTTAGAGTTGGGGACTTCACCTACGGCACTTCTAACACCCAGCACAGGCTAAATCTGGTGTCTAGAGGCTGTGCTCTTGCTAGCTAGATAGGTGGGCAAGTAGGTAGGTAGACAGACAGACAGATGCTTAGTGATGGAACTGGATCACGCATGAACATTGGTCAACAGGAAGGATGGATGACTTGATGCCTGGGTGGATGGGAGGATGAGTCAGAGGTGTCTATGTAAATGGACAAGTGGCTGGAAAATGGGTGTGTCACCGAGTGTACATGCCTTCAGGACAGCCATGGGCTGGGAGACGTGGGAGCTACTGGGGAAAACAGTCACTGGGACCAACAGATGGCATAATGGCTATGTCGCTGGACTCCCATGCAGTCGACCACAGTTTGAGTCCTAGACCTGGTGGCTTAAACTCACGCCAAGCACGTATGCATCCAAGATCCCGAGAGGAGAATGGAGGAGAAGGGATTGCGGCGTAGCCATCCCCCCTGGGGGGTGATTTCTCGCTTTCTGTCTCTCCGTCTCTCTCTGTCTTTCTGGCGAGTGCACGTGCCCTATAGCAAAAACCTCTCCAAAGAAAAAAGAAAGAAAGAACGAAAGAAAGAAAGAAAGAGAAAGAAAGCACTCACTATGGTATAGAAGTTGCCCGACTGAGATGGGCAGTGCCTGCACATAACCACTGATGTGGCCCAACGAACACAGACACCACAGGAAATAAAAAGCCATGCCGCATTGTGGGAGCAACAGCATCTGTGGTGTTGCGAGAAACAAATCAATCAACTGATCAGGAGTGTATTGACAGCCGGAATGCACTTGGCTCCCCTGTGTGAGCAAACGCGCATCCTATGGCGAAGGGGCTCTTGCTGGCGACCGAGCTCTGTCTAACATAGGGCCCGAGTGAGAGGCGCGTGCCTGGCTGAGAAGCACAGGAGCTCCTTATTGAAAGCAAAGTCAATAGATACCACCTTAACGAAAAGATGCCAATACTGGGGAGCTTTAACTTAGTACAAACAAAACGTATTTTTGAAATTAAAAACATCTGGATGAGGAATACTGCAGGGTCTGTTACCAAGAAAAGATGCTCAACTTGCTAAGTGAATGAGTAACGCATTGGGAGGACCCCTAGTGGTGAAGAATGGCATTGCAGCCTGACTCAGACATCCAGGGCATTAAGTCCTGGATGGGAGAAGAGGAGGGCGGGTGATCCTGTCCTTTAACTTGTTTGACCCAGGACAAATTGCTTTCCCCCTCTAAGCCTTAAATGTCCTCATTAGTAAAGTGAAGATGTTAACCTCGAAATTCCCACTCTTCAACTGCCCTGTCCTGCTTTTACCCTCATGATACGCGAACCCCAAACAACCCATTCATTTGGGATTTTGTTTACTTACAGCAAGGGGATAGAGTGATAGAAGGGAGAAGGGACTTGCCCTGGTCACACGGCACATACGCAACAGAACAGAGCTGGCTCTGTGGCTTAATGGTAATGCCTGCTTGAGAGACGCAGGGGGGCTGGTCCTACGGCCTAGTGGTTAAGGGAGCCAGGTCCCACAGGCTGACCACACAGTTCAGGGCAGAGGGCCCTGGTGGCTAGAAAAACACACTGGGTGAGTGTCTGTGCATGCCCCAAATCCCAGCAGGATGGAGAGATGGAGACGAAAGGATTGTGGCATGACCACGCCCACTTGGAGGATGCTTTCTCCCTCCCTGTCTCCCTCTGTCTCTGTCTCTCTGTCTCTTTCTAGCAAGTACACACAGCCTCTGATAATTTTTTTTAAAAAAAGAGAGAGGAGCCAGATCCCACATGGAAGCTATGGTTGGAATCTCCAGCCTGGTCAGCATGAAACAATCCAGGCACACACAGGAGTGTCCAAGAGTCCATGGACCAGAAGGAGCGGATCCCAGTGTGACGAGATCTAATGGCAGGTACTCATCTCTCTCTCTCTCTCTCTCTCTCTCTCTCATACATGTATGAGCTCTATCATAAAGAAAAAAATTTTTAATCAAAACAGTTCAAATTGCTACAAATTTTCTTTCTAAAGGTCAGCCCAGCCAGTGGCATGGTGGTTAAGGCAGCTGGCCTGCCATGTAGCCAACTACACAGTTCAAGTCCTGAACCCAGCAACTTGGAAACCACACTGGGCTCATGTGCATGTGTGCCCAAAATCCTGGAAGAAGAAATGGAGAAGGAATTGCAGCATGGCGATCCCCTCTGAGGGGTGCTTTCTCTCTCCCCCTCTCACTCTCACTCTCACTCTCTGTCTCTACAGTGAGCACGTGTGTCCTTTAGCAAGCATAAATAAATACATAGTCTTTGGTAGGTCACATGGGGTGTGGTTAAGGGAACTGAATTCCACATGGTTGATTGTGGGCTGAGTCCCAGGCCAACGACTTTAGAAACATGCCTGGTGCATATGCATTCACACCCAAAATCCACATGGGGGAAAAAGACTGCAGTGGGATCATTCCCCACGGGGAGGGGGCGCTTTCTCGTGTTCCCCCTCTCTCTCTCTGGCAAGGGCATGCACCCTCTGACAAGTTTTTTTAAAAAGTCATTGGCCCATAGCACAGTGGTTAAGCACCATGCATGGGCCATCGGATCCCACCTGGCCAACCACGGTTCAATCCCAGCCCTAGTGACTTGAAAAACACACGGGCACATGTGCATGCATGCCTCAAGTCCTGACAGGATGGAGAAATGGAGAAAAGACTGTGGTATGACCAGGCCCCACCCTCTCTCTGGCAAAGGCACGTGCCCTCTAGCAATCAATCAATCAATTAAAATTTTTTAAATAAAAATTTATTTTGGGGGGGACCAGTAGGTGGCATGGTGTTTAAAGTGTTGGACCTCCCACATGGCTGACAGTGGTTCAAGTCCCAGACATGGCACCTTGCTTTCTCACTCTCCCTCTAGCTTTCTGTCTCTATGTGTGTGTTTCTCTCTGGTCAAATTAAAGTAAAATGAATGAATAAATAAAATTAAATTTAAAAATTATTTTAAAAAATTACTTTTTAATACATTTTTAAATTAATTTTTAAATAAACGTATACATTTATTCTTTAAATAATTTGTAAACATTTTCCCCTCTGGAGGGCCTCTGATGAAGTAAGGAGTCTGAGTACTTGCCGTCAGTGGTAAACATCTACGGGGGCTTTGGAACAGATGGAGCAGGCTGTCAGCTCCTGAACCCCCCAGTCAGTCTCGACATCACAGTGAGAAAGGCAAGCAGGTGTCCTGTGCCTCCGGTGGGACGTGCACAGGACCAGCTGGGACAGACTTTCGAAAAAAGAAAAAGAAAACAAACTAAGCTTATCAAATCCTCTAGACCCAACTTCCGATAGAAACCAGGCGATGAGAGGATGTTAGCAAGTCTATGGCAAAGCAACCGGCAAAACCAGAATGTGGCACTGCTACGGGACGACTGACCCAGCTCCTTCAACAAATCCCAGTCAAGGGGGAAAAAAGACAGAGGGAAACCTTTAGATTCAAAGAGGCTCGTGCTACACCAGCAAAGCGCTATGTGCACACTTTGTTCGGAACCTGATTTGAACAAAATGACCTTATTCATTTATTAACAATAAATGAGGGGACCAGCAGTTAGCATAATGGCTATGTCGCTGGACTCCCATGTAGTCGACCAAGGTTCGCGTCTCGGACCCGGTGGCTTCAACTCACGCCGGGCGCATGTGCGTGCATGCCCAAGAACCCGAGAGGAGAATGGAAGAGAAGGGATTGTGGCGTGGCCATCCCCCTGGGGGGTGATTTCTCGCTTTCTGTCTCTCTGTCTCTCTCTGTCTTTCTTGTGAGCACACGTGCCCTATAGCAAGAATCTCTCCCAAAAAAATACAAAAAAAGAAACGAGGAGACGACCAGAGCAATTGTAGCAGTGACTGGGTAGTAGATGTCATTAGGGAATTACTGGGGTTCGGAAAGGTTTAACAGTGGGATTGCGGTTATGTTTGTAAGTGTCCTCATACTTTAGAGAGACAAACGCTAGTACCTAACAGTGAACTGCTACAGGGTCTGGAATTTGCTTTAACCGTGGGATGGGGAAGGGAAGTGGGGGGTGTGGGTAAATGAAGTAAGACTGGCAGTGGCTGGAGGGGACCTTGGAGGTGCACAATTCTTTTTATCAAGTTTCTTATATGTTTGAAAGTTTCCATAAGAAATGTCTGTTTAGAGGTCAGTGAATTTTACCGTGTGAGCCACAGACTAGTCCAAGGCTCATTTATTAAAGTGCCATAAATACCAAAAAAAAAGGACCGCAAGGTGAGTGGCCTTGCTCACACTCCCGCCTGCGGACACAGCGCTGGCCGCCACCTCAACGCCCTGTCCTTCCGGCCAAGCCCATCTTCCCATTCATCACCAGCCCTGAAACAGGGCAGCCCTGCGAAGCAGGTGGGTGGGCCCTGTAGAAGGCAGATCCAGGGAACAGCCAGCGTGGCCTACTTACGATGGTGTCGCACCAGAACTCGGCCACCTCGTTGATCCGCATGGACGACAGCAGGGTTTCCCAGACCTCCAGCTTGAACATGTTCCCGATGATGATGTGCATGGGGTGGCCCACTTGCTTGCTGTCGTCGATCACCGTCCGCTCCTCGTCGCATTTCGTGGTGCGGAAGTGAAAGGTCACCTGGTCTCCAAGAGAGTGGACCCTGGTCCGGACACACCTCTCCAAGTGCAGCAGACGCCACCCCCACTGTCACAGACTCCCAGGGCTGTCCCCAGGGGTCAGTTCCACTAATCCAGATCAGATGCCTTAACCCCTGGCCCACCCCCACCCAGCCAGCATGCTCCCAGGGACCAGGAGCCCCTCCCTTCCAAAACACCCACTGCCATGCTCTGACCGGAGACTGTGTGTGGGGCTTAGATGAGCCTAGGTCGGTGGGGCACATCCAGCAGCCCAGGCCCCTGAAGGCTTAATATTTGGAGCTCCAGTAAGCCCCCCAAGCCCCTCCTCATTCCCAGCCCAAGCTAAGTAATCTGCCAGGTACTGAAACTACCCAGCAGGTGGGCACCAACTCAAAGCTCCCCAGGTGCCTGGCGTTGGCAATCCCAGGACCACCCAGCTGGCTGTATTTTGCAAAGTTGAAGACTGTTTGTACTGGGGTGCAGCAGGACTGCAGAAGCCTGCCCCTATCTGGGGGTGGAGGGGACTTACTCGGGACCCAGTGATGAAGTTTGGGAGCTGCCCTGTGCCCCCGTGAAGAATGGTTTTCTTGACCCCTTCCACGTTCAGCAGCAGAGCAGTGTCCATGGCTCCAGGTGGAGGGAGCGGTCTGGCCCGGTCTGCGATAATCCCACCCCACCCGGGTTATGACACTTAGGCGGCTGAGACGCCCAGGGATTTGCCCCGCCGGGGTGGGAGGAGGCAGGTGGGGGCAATGCCACCACTGGCAGCCTAGCTTTGTCCCCTGCCTGACACCCACCCTTACTGTGCCAGGCACTGGTTTGTTCCGCCCTAGGAAAAAAAGAAAGGGGCCAGCTGAGCTTTCGCAAAGAAACCGGGGAGAGGGGAGCCAGCAGGAGAGGCCTGGAGGCCCCTGATGGGGAAAGGAGAGAAGCCTGAAGTCCCCTTTGCCCTGGCTGGTCCCTGGGGTGCTGACCTTGGCCCCAGAATCTAAGCCTCTTTGGGCCCTGTGCGGGGTCCTGCTGCCTTTAAAGTCCTGCCACATCCTCTCTTTTCTTTGCGAAGATCTCCCCACAGGGGGCTGTGACTCGGCCGAGGGGGAGAGGTGGTAGGTTTCTGGCTTCTGGTTTGAGAGAACCAAGATGGAGAAAGAAACAGGGGACAGGGTTGGGGAAAAGTGAGGTGCCCTCCTCGGCCCTCCTACTCATGGCCTCCCTCAGGTCTGGTTGGGGGCCATAGGACTCTCCCCTCCCCTCTGAAGGACCTTAGCTTGTGCCCTGGGACCCAGTTTCTGGGCAAAAAGAGAAAAATTAATATGAAGAGCTGGCATTTGGCGCCACCTTGTGGTCAGGTCAAGTTTTTACTCCTCAGAGTCCCCAAAGCCCCAAGGGTAGAGAGGACTCTGAGCACACAGAACCTTTCCCTTCTCCACAGGAGGCTGCCTATTGCAGAGACAGGGATGCAGGACCCTGCCACAGCGGGGGACAAGAACAGGGGCTAGGAGCCAGCCGAGCTCAAGAGCTGCCCCGACTCTCATATACTGACTGTGAGGCTTGGTGTCTCCCATCTTCCCTAACGCCATTCTCCCAGCTGAAGAGGGAAAATCTGCCTTTCCTACCTCCCTCTCCAGGAAGCTGAAAGGCCTGGAGCAATGAGTGGAACCCCAAAGCCCTCCTAAACTCGATTCCTTTAGGAGCCACAGGCACCGAGGAGACAAAACCTGGGCCAACGGTCAGAACCAGGAAACCCCGAATCCCAGACTCCAGGGCCCAGGCTCATCCCTCGGGGCAGTAATAATGGTGGAAGCTGTAGAGACCCTTCCCCTTTTCTATTCCCTCCTTTCTCCAACGACGCAGCAGCCTAGAGGGTAAAAATGGATACTTGGCAAAACTTCAAGGGAAAACTGAAGTGATCACCATGGAAGTCCAGGGGTGGGGGAGAGGGAGAAGACACAGCAGAGGGAGAGGCTGTGGGGTCCTGGCAATGTTCTGTTTCTTGACCTGGAAGACGTTACGTGTGCGTGTGTACTTTATAGGGTTGTTTAGTTTGTTCACTATTTGTTTACAGTTTATTTATTTCTTCCATGAGTGAAGGAGACAGAGACGGCACCTCTGACAGGATCTTAACACCACAATCACCCTTAGCCTCAGTCAGCGCTGGATCTTGGGCCTACATGTACCAGGTCTACTCAGGGCGGTCTTTGGAAACCTTCCATGCGGGTCTACCTCAAAGAGTATCAAGTTTTACGGCTGTGCCGCTGTCCCACGCTGTAAGAATTCACACTAGACCTTATGTTTTTGTCTATGTTTTTGTCTTTTATTGAAAGATTTTTGCTATAGGGCATGTGCACTCACCAGAGAGAGAGAGAGAGACAAAAAGAGAAGTTCCCCCACCACCACCACCCCACCACAAGAGGGAATGACCACATTGTAGTCCCTTCTCCATTCTCTTCTCAGCATTTTGGGCACACATGCACATGCGCCCGGCATGAATTTTAAGCCACTGGGGTCGGGACTTTAACCATGGTCAACCATATGGGAGTCCTGCAACATAACCATTATGCCACCTGCTGGTCCCCAGACCTTATGTTTTACACTATGTTCTACCAGTGATATAATTCATAATGAAAGAAAAAGACCCAATTATGTCTCTTCTCACACTTCTTAAAACTCCCCCTTACAGGGGCAATGGGTGGTATGGTGGTTAAAGTGCTGGACACCCATATGGCCAACCATGGTTCAAGTCTTGGACCTGGCAGTTTGGAAATCACACCAGGTCTATGTGTGTGTGTGCTCAAAATCTCAGGAGGAGATGGGATTGTAGAGTGGCCATACCTCTGGGGGTGATTTCTCACTGTCTCTGTCTCACTCCATGGAGCACATGCCCTTAAACAAAAAAACTGAAACAAACAAAAATAACTACTCTCCTTTTGTGTCATAGATGTAGAAGTTGCTTTTAATTGCTTCCTGCATAGAAAGGCCAATAGACACATTGCTCACAAAGATATCTAGGAGGTCATCTGACCGGGACAAGGTGGCTGGCACAAAGGGAAGAGGACATTGAAACTAATTCCAGGGGTGGTTGTTGGTGTCACAGCCGAGAAGATGAAGGGTCACTGTCTGGGCTGCTCCTGAGCCCAGGCCACAGCCTCCACACCGATCCCAGCAACGCTGGGTTTTCTCAAACCAGTCTTCTCATAGATTTTATTAAAATGCAACTTTAATAACCCACTCTCCTCTCAGAATTCAGCAAAGACTTCCATTGCCTTCAGGATCTATTGGAGACTCCTTCCCCAGCCTGGCACCTGCCCTGGGCTCCACCCTCTGTCTCGCTCTGCCTTCCTCCAGTCCTGGAACTGGGCCATGCACTGGACTCGCAATTCTTCAACAAAGACCCCTCCTGTTCAGGAAGCCTGCCCTGCCCTCTCTGTCCAGTGAGGCGTCCCCATCTCCCTCGCACCCTCTCACCGCCTTCAGACAGCTCACACACGGCATGTTGCTCAGCTGTTTAAATAACGTGCTCGTGTCTGCTCCTTCCACCAGGCTGACAGTTCCAGGAGGTCAAGGAAACTGGTGCAAGTTCTGCCGTTGGACAGGGGGCTCCCTCCCCCATTCTCCTCCCCAGCAGAGGCGAAGGTGGCACTGGACTCCCCAGAAAAGCCTCGACGTGGAGGAACTGACTGGTTTTCCCTCTTTCCCGCCACCTCTCTCTCCCTCTGAGCAGGGCCTTCTTCCCGCCGGGGGGCCACCTTCTATTCAAGGCAAAAGGGAAAAGCTGTCCATTCAGAAGAAACTGCGTCTTCCTCCTTCTCTCGTTGCCATGGAGACTGCTCATTAACCTGAACTGCCAGCTAAGATTCTGAGCAAGAGAGGAGGGCGGGAAGCTGGAGCAGAGCGGGCCTCTTCCTGCATGATTCGTTCCTGCTGCAGACACTCGACAAGGAAAGCGGTGTGATCGCAGGGTTCAGGTTCTGGAGGCACGTGCAAGACGCTAGTGCCAGCTCTGCCACGCCACCCGATCTTGGACAAACTGTCGCCTGTCTGAATCTGTTTTGTCAGTTTTGTCCCGTCTGTAAAGGAAATAAAAATAGGGCCTCCTTCACAGAACGGCCTTAAGGATTGAGAATAAAGGAAGTAAATGCCTTCAGCCGAATGTCTGACACGTGGTAAGAACCGGAAAGACACAAACTAGTATCTGTCACGCCAGGCAGTGGGACAGGCACAGCAGAGACCACTGCGACAGGACACTTCAGTTTGCGAGATTTTGTTTCTCAGTGCTGTGCCTTCACTGAGTCTTTCCCACACGATCGACTTTGTCTTCGTAGAAACAATTAGGGTGACACGCTCCCTAATTACCGTAACCAAGACGACTGGCACAACGAGGCTTGGGAACAAGCATTTCTGACTCCACTGGCGGGGACAGGTTGGACAGGCAGACGAGGGCAGCGTTCCTCAAACCACAGTCCACACCCATTCGTGACTAGTATAAAATAAGTGAAGTGAGTTGTAAGCATCGGCTTTTTGTCTAGTTTTTGCGGGGCTTGTTTTTGTGGGTTTTTGTTTGTTTTGTTTTGTTTTGCGATAGGGCACATGTGCTCACCAGAAAGAAACAGAGAGAGAAAGGGAAAGGGAGAAATCATCCTTTGGGAGGCTGGTTGCCATCCCTTCTCCTCCAGTCTCCTCTTGGGATCTTGGGCATGCACACACACACGCCCAGCATAATTTTCTAGCCACCAGGTCCAGTTCTCAAGCCACACAGTTGGCCCTGTGAGAAAACAGCACCTTAATCTCCCCTCCACCTGCTGGCCTCATAACCATAAGTTTTTAAAAATAAAAGAGAAGGGAACCAGCAGTTAGCGTAATGGCTATGTCGCTGGACTCCCACGTAGTCGACCGCGGTTCGCGTCCTGGACCCAGTGGCTTAAAACTCACGCCGGGCGCGTGTGCGTGAGTGCCCAAGATCCCGAGAGGAGAATGGAGGAGAAGGGATTGCGGCGTGACCATCCCCCCTGGGGGGGTGATTTCTCGCTTTCTGTCTCTAATCTCTCTCTCTGTTTGTCTGGTGAGCACACGCGCCCTATAGCGAAAATCTCTCAAAAAAAAAAAAATGAAAGAGAAAATTAAATCTCAGAGTACATCATAGATCATCAGATACTGTTTCATGAAACTTTCAGTTCACATAAGTGTGTGTGTGTGTGTATGTGCATGTGGATCCCTGTGCCAATACCATATAAACACACACACACATCTACATACACGCACACAAATACACACACCATGTACATACACACAGATGCATTTTTGCCTGATTAACTTATTCTCTGGGTCTCAGCTTTAAACAAATATGATTTTTGTGTAGTTCTTTGATTAGTGAATTCTTGGGTTTCCCTCACAAGTTTGTTTATTTCTCCTTTGAGAGAGAGAGACAGAGAGAGAGGGAGCCAGCACCCCAAGCACGGTCTTGATGCTGTCCTCCACTCAGCCGGAGCCAGCCCATTTCATGGGTACATATGTGACGTCATATGTGACGTCAGACGCACGGAGGTCTCTGGACTCGAGGGCCTCTTCACACATCCTTTCATTCATCCCAAATGCAGCCAGGAGGCTCCCCTGCAGGACTCCCTGACAAAGCATTGAATTTGCACTGCTGCACCATCATGCGGCCCCGGGTTATTGGGCCTTTGATTCATCAGTCCATGTTTGCCTGTCCTCGCACACTAACCCGGACTCCAGGAGGTGAGGAATGCTCCCGCTCTGCTGACCTCTGTGCCCTGGTTCTAGCACAGCGTCTCATCTGTCACAGCTCCCAGTGGATGTGATCTGGAGAGACATGCGAGAGGGAACGTGGGGGAGGAGGAGGAGGGCCTGGGGGACTGGAGTGACTGCTGCTGTGTGCGGTCCTGTAATTAAGGTGTCTGTGCCGCAGGGTGGCTGCGTGTGCCGGTGTGAGGGGCGAAGGTTGGGGCAGCGTGGAATGGTGGTTACTGACAGAGTTTGAATCCTTGGCCCTGCAGTATAGACACTGAGTCAAATGTGGGCTCCCACTAACCTCTCTGTACCTAAGTTTCCTCATCAGGTTGAAGGCTGCAAAGAGGGGCCAGTGAGTCAGTGAACGTAAAGTGCTTGGAACGGCAGTGCCTAGTGCATCCTTAGTCTCACATACTTGTAAGCCATCGCCCTCCCAGTGGCTGGGGGACAGGGTGGTCAGAGGCTAAGGGAGTGAGACCACTCAGGGCTGAAGAGCCTGGGGAGAAACGGCCTCGAAGAGTCCGTCATCCTTGGCCTGGGGGACGGGGGTCGCAGGAAACCAGCAGCAGAGTGGGTATAGCTGCGTTGAGATCCCGTAAAAGAGGGGGCGTTTGGGAGAGCTGTACGGACCGCGGGGTTTTCGCTGGTTTAACTGCTAACAGGGAGAGAGGGAGGCTTTGGTCCAATGAAGGGAAGGCTGGCAGAGAGAGACGGGGGCAGGGAGGTGATGAGGCAGGAGAGCAGGAAGATCCACTGTAGCATGTGCCCTCTTCCAGCATGTTTTCTTTTTTCTTTTTACTTTTTTTCTTTTATTTTGGAGAAGTTTTGGGAACCAGCAGTTAGCGTAATGGCTATGTCGCTGGACTCCCACGTAGTCGACCGCAGTTCGCGTCCTGGACCCGGTGGCTTAAAACTCACACCAGGCGTGTGTGCGTGCGTGCCCAAGATCCCGAGAGGAGAATGGAGAAGGGTTTGCGGCGTGACCATCCCCTCTGGGGGGTGATTTCTCGCTTTCTGTCTCTCTGTCTCTGTCTGTCTGGCGAGCGCACGTGCTCTATAGCAAAAACCTCTCCAAAAAAAAAAGAATTAAAAAAAATAATTTTGGAGAAGTTTTTGCTATAGGGCACGTGCGCTCTCCCAAAAGACAGAGAGAGACAGAAACAGAAAGCGAGATAGCACCCCCAGGGGGGATGGCCACGCCGCAACCCCTTCTCCTCCATTCACCCCTCGTGATTCTGGGCATGCACGCACACGCGACCTGCGTGAGTTTAAGCCACCGGGTCCGGGACGCGAAACGCGGTCGTCTACGTGGGAGCCCAGCGACATAGCCATTACGCTAATGCTGGCCCGCCAGCATGTTTTCTTGCGTGGCAGAATGAGGACGTCAAGTTTGGGGAACAGAGAGGGACATGCTTTGTCTCAGGAAAGGAGATGGTCATCAGGAAAATTTGAAAGAAAGCATCCGTGGGAGCTCCGCACCCCCAGTCCCTGGCCACTGAGCAAGAATGAAAAGCCAGAGCACTTGGCAGGGTGGGAGGGTCCCTAGGTGGTCAGGGCTACTGCCGGCTGAGAGGCCTGGAGCCCGAGGCCACCAGCCCCTGCGTCTTCTCGGTGCCCCGGAACCTCCGCCTCCCCCGAACTCTGTGCAGCTCGCGGGAGGGTCGCCGGAGTGAGTTCCGGATTGCACGCTGGGACGTAGGGCCGGGTGTCCTAGAGGTGGCGCGGGGGCTGGGTCCTCAAGGGGCGGTGGCTGCGCGGGCGGACCTGCAGTTACAAAGCAGAGGAATCGCGCGGCGGAGCTGACCTGGGGTCCCGAGGGATGAATGGGGACAGCCGGGCCAATCCCAGGGCAGGATTTACAGCTGTGAGAAGAGAGAGCCAATAGGATCTCCGATGCCGCGGCTAATGCAGCGACATAGCCAATCAGCTGTGAGGACGGGGCCGGGGCGGAGCCGCGCGGAGTTTCAAATCGGCCGGGGTCTGCTAGGAGCAGCTGCGCGGTGTGTCTGGTCGTCGTTGGAGGCTATCGAGTGAGTGCGTTTTGGGATCCAGAGGGGTTTCTGTTCGCTGGCGGGGGTGTCTCGAGAGGAACCGGCTGCTGGGCGGTCTGGTAAGAACAGGCACAGCGCGTGGAAGTCTCTGTGTGTCGCAAGCGCCGGATAGAAATCCGGGCGTCGGGTCAGGCTGCAGGGGGATTGGGCGGAAGGGTTTGGTCAGGGGGAATTTGTGAAAGAGCTACTGATCGCGTGCTCTGAGCCAAGGGCTGAAGCTCGGCCCCGGACCCATGCTGACTCTGCCTCCCTCCCCGCCTGGGGCAGAAAGCTGAAAGAAGGCCAGAGTGAACGGCTGATTACTGCT